TAATAATATAATAACAGGTCTGATTTGTTTAATGTTGCTTTGATACCATGTTGAAGTTCGGCCTGCCCTAGAAGTCTGTTTTGTTTGTTAKCTGAAAAGTARAGTAAACAGCAAGAAGGAAGAGAGGAAAGAAGAAGGAAGAAAGAGGAAGGAGAAGAGAAAAGGTCTGGTTCGAAAATAGGAAAAAGTCAACTCTAGTTTCGGCCAGACTTGTTATTATATTATTAATGTAATTGGAAAAGACATAAGTGCCCTTATTTAAGTAAGAGGCACTCGAACTAACATAATAGTACACATCAACAYTCTCAACAGGTACAAAGACCGAAATACCCCTTCACTAGCACATGATATGCACCAGAATGTGATTTATAAGATGAGAACCTTTGTAATTCTTTAATAAGAAGTTGAACATTTTCTTTATGGCTAAGTATATCATGGTTATTACAGGAATACTGCAAAAACCTTTTATGCTGCTAGCATCTTCTTCGAGATTCTTAACCAGTTTGGTGAACTCCAACCTGATGTAAGTTTGGAATCATGTTATTTTACAATTAATGTCTTGTTTCTATGCCAAGGTTTAAAGTTTAGAAAGAATAATTATCTAGAACTGGAGGATTTGATTACTTTAATATTCTCTAATAATTCAAATGATTGTCTTGATTAGATTTTGTTATCACATTTTATTATCAAAAGGTTTTCACATTTGTGAACACTTTACTTCGACAGATAGAACAAAAACAGAAGTATGCTGTGTGGAAAGCAGCAGACATAAGGAAAGCATTGAAAGAGGGGAAGAAGCCTGAACCAGGTCCTCCTGGTGGTGATAAAGATTTAACGATTCCATCAAGTACCACAAATGGTGCATATGTATGTTTCTGAACTTGACAGTAACTTTATCTCATGTTAGCTCAATTACATTAAATGCTGATTAAAAAGATGTGCTAAGTGGAATGTAAGTAGTATAATGTTCTCCTAGTTGAATGTTCACTGTTAAAAATAACTAATGTATGTAGTACATAGTCCTTAGAATATTATAGTTTAGATACCACCAGTAATGTCATGAAGTGTATAAACTCAATAAATTGAAGTTTTTGTTTTTGTTTTCTTAACGCCAAAGATCAATCCAACTCGATGAATTAACCAACTACAAGATTGAATTACTTTCTAGTGGTCAAAAAATAAGGGCTGTATTCGTTCAAAAAAGGATCCTTTATTTTGATGGTTAGAGGCACTGTACCATAGCAGTCTCTAAATACCCCTCCAAATTCTCAAGGGCCTGGGTTGCCTGTCCTGCTGCCATCAACGTTCAATTTGATTTGGTATACATCAGGTGGTCTCCAATGTGATGTGTTATGTTGTCTATGCCTTGCTTAGTAATCTATCAAGTACCATTGACTTGTAAGCTCCTCCATAGAAAAGTTCTCAAAAAGCTTTAGTCTTGACCCAATGTGTAGGCTCAGTCAATAACGACACTTCTAGCCCTTTTCCTCTCTCCCTGGAAATTCTATCATTTCTTTTCTCTCACACAGTCCGTAGGATCAGCCAAGCTGCTTTTTGGTCTAGCAGATCTCCCAAATTAGGTCTACATTATCTATTGTTTGAAAAATCTTTAGCTATCTAAAACAAAAAATGTACTACAATACTTACAGTAGTACCAGGGCTCTTAATTTTTTTTTTTGATCAGTGTGGTTCATACTCTTAATTTATAACCATCATCTTTTTTATCAGTTTTTATCATGGTTTTCAAAACCAGACTGGAAACAGAACCACATTGACTATCGATTCCTGGGTCAAATGGTCAGACTCTCCGGTCTGACCCCGTCAGACAGTTTTGGGGTCCAAAACCGGACCCGGAGCCATGACCAGTTCCTGGGTCAACCAGTCCAACCATCCGGTCCGGTCTGGTTTTCAAAACCATGGTTTTGACCACTTATTATGGTATTTTTCTCATTCAGTTTAAAAACTTTGTAAATTTTGCAAATGAAGACTGCTTGAAAGCATCACTTTTTGAGGAAACCGATATTAATTTTGTTTTGATGATAATTCAGAAGTGGTCCACCTGTGAGACAGCTGCTAAGCTAGGATTAGACCTATGACTGCTCTCTTAAGTGGAATGTATTTTGGAACAACTATTTAATATGAATTTACAAATATGAGTGTGGTTGTACGAAAATGGGGTGCATACAACTTCTGAGATTCTTGGTAAGCAAATTGGCTAGCTCTAGCTGACCTGAGTTGCTCCAGTTTCACTGTAGCTTGGTTTGTAAAGCATGCTCATGTGTCTATACTTTCATGCATTAATCCATAAAATATGACGCCATTAAGCTTGTTAATTTAGGGGGTATTTGGCACTATGTGTGATTTTGTTTTTGAAAACAAAAGCAGCTACAACATCAGCACAACAATATGGTTTTGCTGAGATGGAAGTTGCTTTTTGTTTTAAAAAGCAAAACCATACACTTGGCAAACACCCCCTTGATTGAGTTAGTTTCTTTTCATGGTCGACCCTTCAGTTAATTACTTAATTATCAGGTGACTATATCTTTGGAAGTAAGCCGAGGTTCTTTCTTTGAGATTCTGCTCTTTAAGTTCCGTGTCACCATAGAAAAACCGAAAAACACTATTGAAGGTTATCTAACTAGTCTTACTTGTTCAGGAACTTGGACATGAAACTCAACAAGCTTACCATCCAGGATCAGAATCTGATGCATCTGCTCCTATACGTTGCGATGTTGACCACCAACCTTCTGTTAATTTGACACCATCTTCCTCTTATTCAACTGCTGATCACCTTTCCAATGAGTACCACCAGCCTCCACCAGTCATCAGACAAGAAAGTTACAGGCAAAAAAATTCTTACCCTCAGCCGCCACCACCAGTCAGTAAACAAGAAAATTCTGCTTACCCCCAGACGCACCACCAATCCTACCAGCCTGAACCCCGGCAAACATTTCCTCCGACTTTGCATGCTGAAACAACGCCAACTCCTGCCCAAACATTCCAGTATGACAGCAATTACGAGCCACAACCTGAAAGGATTGCTGAGGCACACAAGGCTGCGAGGTTTGCTGTTGGGGCTTTGGCATTTGATGATGTGGCGGTTGCAGTTGACTTCCTCAAAAAATCACTTGAACTATTGACAAATCCATCAGCGAGCCACTAAGCCTTGCCTTCGGTCTTTAGAATTGAGTGCTTTCCCGCACTGTTTTCTTTTTTTTTGGATGGGTTAATTTTTGTACAGGTTGATGTATAATTGCTGGAAAATGGTGGGATGCTACATCTTCATTTATTGGCATTCTGTTCCTAGATTTTTACACGACATGAATGAAATACATGGTTGCTTCTAAAATTATCTGCAGTGTCTAATTTCCAACACCGATTTGTTGATCTTACACTGGGAGTTTCAAATGAGAGAGAGAGAGGGAGAGAGTGTGTGTTTGTGTGTGGAGTATTATAAAATAGTCTTTTATCTGCCTTTTTGAGTAGTTTCTTCTCCTTGTCTGCTCCTAATGAGGTATTATTATATGTCATCTCGTGTATAATTGGGTTGATGCCCATCACCGATAGTAAATTGCTAAATTTCTGGTAATTACTGTTATACGAATCTTGTTTTACTCTTTCAGTTGTTTTTGCTTTCTTCTGTCCTAATAGACGGAGGAACAGCTCTGTTTGTTTGCAGTGCAATTTCATCTGCACTGGTACAAATGAGAAGAATGCAAATTTTTGTCCACTTTTGCTTTCACTTTTACTTTGTTTGAGTTTGGAAGGAATATAAATGCAAATATGTACAATGCAAATACATATAAAATAATACAAAATATCAGGTTTTGCACTCTACATATTTGTATTTGTACCACTCCTTCCAAACTCGGCCTTCAAGTTTTGCAAGGTAAAAGATGAAACAAAATAAATCAGAGCGTGCACTTAAATATTTGCAGTCCTATAGTTTTGTGCCGATGCAAATGAAATTCCACTGCAACCAAACCAAGCCAACAGAATAAAGCAACTTAGGCCGTAATGTTTGCTGTTCTACAAATCTCGTTTATGTTGTTTTATTTACTTCGAGAGATGCCAAAGAAGTAAAACCAGCTTTTCTTTCATCATCAATTTTGTCAAGTTGGATGTTTATAGATCAATGCTACGGCCTAGATTGTGGAGTAAGAAAAAGATTGGTAGTCTTATTTGTGGGATTATTGACGCAGCGTGGAAGCAATGAGAACCGGAGCCGGCTATGCAAGCAGCGGGCGTTCGTTAGCACCTAGCGAATAACACGATTTCTCTAGGAGAGAGAAAAGGTGGCGAAAATAGGAAGAAGAGAATTTGAAGAAATTCTGAAATCTGAAGTATGAAATTGATAAATAACTTTGGGAAAATAGCAGTATTTATAATACATTTGGGAATTGTAAAAGAACTAGGAAAGAACATGAGTCTTGATCTTGATTTTGATCTTCTTGGGCTGTCTTGATAAGGTCGAACCCTCTTGGAATTCTTGGGCTTGATCTTCCACCGTCCGATCTCCCTGATTTTCCTTATGCATGAATCTGGGAGTCTTGGATTTCTTGATGCTTCTTGGAGTCTTTGTTGGATCTTGATTGGAGTCTTGAATTCTTGCTAATCTTGGAAGAGTCTTGATAAGCTTGGATTCTTGATAAGTCTTGGAGTCTTGGAAGAGTCTTGATGGATCTTGAATTATCCTTTCTTGGCTTATCTTGGACTCTTGACCTTATCCTAGGAGCTGCCGCCCCTAGGAGTGAGATGGGCCTTGGGATGGGCCTCCATCAATTATCCAGATTAACGGCTAAGCGTGGACACAACACTTAGCTTCTTGATGGCGAGTATACATTAGATCAAATGTGTAGAACTAGATAATGCAAGCTATAGTCTTTTGAGTCTTGATTGGTTCATTGTTCTCAACAGAGCAAGTTCCCTGTAGTCTCCCGCAATGGATTAAGAGCCACTTGCATTTAATGATGGTTTTCATGCAAATCTGAGAATGTTGGTCATTGAGTTAATTAAGCCTGGTAACTTTATGATGTAGTTCAAGGCGGTTGTCATTTTGCTTTTGTTTCATTCAACAGAGAAAACTTCTTTAATCTTCATTCTTCATTATATATGCATAAAAATGCAGATAGCGGCCTGACGCCTGACGCCACAACCCAATTAGAGGTGCTTTGAGAAGAAAGTTGAGCCATAAATTGTCAAACAGGATGGTCATTATCTTCTTTCCATTGCTAGTTCTGTGGTCTTCTTCTAGGGTGCATTTGAAGCATAGTTGTTTGAGCTTGGGTGGCCGCTTGGCCTTACTGAGTTGGGGACTTCGACCAATTTGTCTGTGGGTTGTGGGCCTTGTGGCTAAAGAAACAAAAAAAAAAAAGAGTTTTTGAACATAAACTCATTATTTGATCTCAATTGGACAACCATGGGTCATGGAGTCCACAACTACGCTACCAGTAGGGGTGGCAATTAGCTAGGATGGCCCAGGCATGGGCCTCACCAAGCACAATATACTAGGAATACTAGCCCAGCCCAGACCGCCGGATTTATGGGATGGAAATTCCTGGCCAGGATACTTTCGTTTTGGACTAGGCTAGACAAATGGGCCCAGTTATTTTGATGCAGCCTCAATCACCAAAACGATCGTTAATTATAACTAAAATAATCAACTTGGTAATATATTAGGTGTGTAAACATACTTAAATGTGACGAGGAAGCTTTACAAATACAAATAATAAATACTTAAATGTGACGGTAATGCTCGATTTGTTTGCAGTGCAAATTTCATTTGCATTGGTGTAAAATGTAAATGTAGGGAGTGCAGATGGGCTGAGTGTAATATCTGGATTATTTTTACTTTATATTGACTTTATTTTATTTGTTTGTAAGAAGGAGCAAAATGATGTGATCCCCACTTTATATGAGATAAAACCAAGGTAGGAGGATGGTGGTTATTTATTTGTGCCAGATCAGATTTTTAGATGCAAGATTTGCAGTGCCAATGAGCATGAATAAGATAAAGTGTAAACTTTGTATCAAGTAGGAGAGCAAATCAGGGTTATCAACAAATGGATGCAAAACTAAAGTGGGTGTAAATTTTGCATCTAATGTAGATTTACACTGCAAATAAACAGAGCATTTTCTTAAGGAGCACCAATTCCCGTACTAACGACAAAGGTGGTATTTGATGGAGCATTTTCTTAATGGCAAAGGAGTTGAGGTGTACCAATAATTATACTATTAAATTGAAGTAGGCATGACTCCTGTACTTAGTATGGGGTCATTAATATGAACTATTTTAAATTGTTAATTTTTAAATCGATTATATTAAAATTTTAGGTTAAGTTTTTCATTTGATTTAAGAGACTTATCATATTTTCTTTAGTGTTTAACGGGGCAGTCACATGTATGTATCATTTGGTTTTTACAATTTTTTGTTTATTACAGTAATATTATTTTATTTGAGTTTCACTATTTATTTAATAATTATATTTATATTTGAATTAAGAAATTGAATTACAAAGATTTAGCTAGTGAATGGGTTAGTATGGGAAAGTTCACTCAATTTTGATTTCCAACATTTGTATTAATTGTTTAGTCATTTTTATTAATTTTTATTATTTTCATTCATAATTCATTTATTAATTTTTATAATTTTAAGCTAATTCATTATTTAATAAATTTGTAATAATTTAAGCACATTTATGAATTTTTAATCTATTTTAGTAATTAATTAATCTTTTTTGTTATTTAATAATATTATTAACTATGTTAGTAATCAATGAAATATTTATTTAAGATTATTCCTTTTAAAATATTGACTTAATTAATTATTTAAAGAATACTATTATTTTTAATTAGTGATTTTTATAATTGTTATTATTGTTCTTATTAATAGTGATTATTATTGTAAAGGAAATTGATTTCCAACCAAGTATAATAATTATTTCTTCTATTTAAATTATTATTTTGCATGTATGAATAATCATTAATGATTATTATTAATATTATTAATTATCATTTATAAATATTGATTACTGTGTACAAAAGAAGTAGTGGGACGCAGCATTTTCAATTGAACTGTTGTCTTCTCAGGCAACGGTTCGTGCGAAACTCGACCATCAGCGGCGTCATCAACGATGGTATGACCTTCCCGGCCACTGGAGGCCACCCATAAATGATCGCCGGTGGTCGACGATCTCATCTAACATTAAAGAAGAGACAGTGGTCGCCTGTATTTAAAAAAAAAACACCTCGTATCTGGCTTCCTGTACACTGGTCGTATGAACTTCCCGGCCACCAACGACCACCCATAAGCGATTGCCCATGGCCGACGATCTCTAGTTTCTCGGTTGCAGTTTCGATGTAAGGGTGCTGATGAGTTCGTTGGAAAATGTTTTAAAATTCAAATAAATGTTTTGAGATATATATATTTTTTTTTCATGAGATAGAATTCATGAGACAAAGATTGAGAAAATAGAGTTCAACTTGATAAAATAAATGAAACACAAAATAGAAACATGTTTGCCAAACTCAAAACTCTATACGTATAAGATACAATGAGATGAAATGTAAAATTACCTAAGTGGTTGAACTTGAAAACATCCAAGTAAGAATTCCAATGAAGTGAACATAAGCTCTGAGAAATTACAGATTTGGAGAACATCATATGCAAAGACTTTGGAGACTGGTGTAGAATTTAGAGTTTGAAACTGATAGATTGTGATAGATTGAATGAGAATGTAGATTTCTGGACGTGACTTAGAGTCTGGCGTGAACGTGGGGTTGACTTGGTTCCAACAGAATTTTTGAATTTATCTCCTAATATTAACTTCTCTTTGAAAATTTGAAAAGACAACTAATAAGAATAAGATATATGTCTAATTTATTTCATGGTTTGGAAGATAGGTGTCTAAATAGAGGAGAGCCACATGTCTGACTGGGGGAGATTTTGGTCTGATTTTTTATTATGGTTCAGTTTTGAAGGAATACAAATACAAAAATGTACAGTATAAATACATTCAAAATACTACAAAATACAAGATTTTGCACTCTACATATTTGTATTTGTATTCTTTCCAAACTAAGCCTACCAGAAAATTATGAAATGAATGCGGTAGGCTTTGGGGCACAACGGTGCATTGCTCCATAGTGACCCGGGTGATCAGGGTTTAGATATTGGAGCCTCTTTGTATGTGCAAAGGTAAGATTGTGTGCATCAAGGTTTTTAGAACTGAACTAGAAATGAACCGGTCAGGGGTTTGGTTCCCGGATCGAATGGTCTGACTGTTCAAACCAAACGAATGGCCTGTTCTGACAAAAAATTAAAAAATTAAAAACAGCCAAAACCGTTGGATG